CCTCTCCTCTCCTCTCCTCTCCTCTCCTCTCCTCTCCTCTCCTCTCCTTTCCTCTTTCCTTTTCTTTTTTTTGGATTAGAGAGATGGAAAGAAATGAAAAAAATGAAGTCTAAGAAGTGCCAAGGCAGGAAACACAAGTCGCCAGAACTTGGATTTGAGAGATGTCTTTGAAGGGCATTTTGAGGCAACTATTACAGATTGCCTGAAAATTGTAGAACCAAAAGCTAATAAGGAGTTTCTAGGAAGCTGGCTGTTCCAGCAGAAGAATTCAAATGGGACCAATAAGAGACTGAGGCATGCAGCAGGATTCTGTGGGCTAGAAGAAATCCAAAGAAAATCTGGAAGGGTGCTGGTAGAGCACAAATGAGGTTACAGAGCAAAGGCTGCTCACTGCTCTCTGGAATTCAAATATTGCTTAACTGTAAGATCATACTGAAGAGCAAAATACTAACATTTACTGTCTGAAGCTCAGGATCAGACCGAAGTTGTATGGATTGAAATAACATGTATATATAAACACTTCCACAAAATTTGAGGGAATCGGGTTGTTGCCAAAGTAGGCTTCTACAACACAGGCAAGCTTGACTATCCAGATTCCTTTTGTAGTCAGTAGAGAAAAAAAGATTCAGAAAGCTTTTCTAGGATGGTATTCATCTAGTTATGCTATAATTAGGCTATATTTTTAGTTTGCAATATAAACATTTCTAATCTGCCCATAAAATCAGCGGAGTAAGGACAGAGGACAGGTAAGTGCTGGTGACATTACATATATCTGCATTTATTTCGCAGGTACTTCATACCTTCAGTCTAACTTACCAGACTGAGGCCTTAGCTGGTGTGTTGCAGACTTTCTGTCATCTTAACTCTTGCTCCGAATCCAACATAAGCCCTTATTCTTACAGTCAAACCTGCACTACACGTTTCTTTAAAACCAAAAAGAAATCTAAAACACTGACAATTACACAATGCATCAGATTTTTAATCCCAGCTGTGTGAAATTACATATGTAAAGCTATTTTCTTTTTTCTTTTTTATCTCTGCAAGGATAAACAAACACTCCCTCAATACTGAAGACCAATTGTGCATTATTTTAATCTTTCAAGCTACTATGAGTTGCATAACATGAACCCCAGTTCAGGTTCCAAACAATTCACATCTGAGTTTAAATGAAATATCACGTGCTTGAGAAGATGAGTGAGTACTTATGACAACAGACAGGCTCTCAGCAACCGATTCACTTCTTGTTTTGCTCCTGTTGATTCACTTTGCTGAGTATCTCCTCCATAGAGGTTACTACAGGCGTGAAAAGTAGGTTTCACTTAATATCCTTTGCCTTATAGCTTAATGCCCTCAATAGCTCTTCATTTACAAGAGCCTGTGTGTGTGCATGTGTCAGATCAAAGGAATGCCACCAAAGCATCAAGCATACAGTCTCAGTTTCTCAAGCAGAGGGATGAAGAATAGGAGTCCTGGCCCCACCACTGACCCTAAGGCTCCTGGTCGTTACACCTCACACTGCTGTGTGCAGAAGCCAAAAGGACTTTCTCAGTGCACGACAGATTTGGAGCAGCTGTGATGTGCAATGAGGTCATCTACAAGCCAGACATCAGCATAAAGGTGAAAGCATCCCAAGGCATTTGGTTAAGTTGTCTGGGTCAGCCAAGAAAACGTGGAACCTTCCTGATCAGCAACCATGTGAGCCAAATGATGTATATGAGTTAGAGCACACGGATTTGCCCATGATATGAATTTATATGCTGAAGCTCCATTTCATAATCCACCCAAGACAGAGGGGTTAAGAGCAGCCTAGATACCAAATAAGATTCAGAACAGTGAACAGCATCACTTTGTCCTTCTTGACCTGCTGTCAGTATTATGCATTCTTCTTTCTTTCACAATGCCATGCTGTGATAAATCTGGGCAAGTTACATTTCACTGCTGAAAGGTGGCATATATGCCAATATAAACCTATCATGTCTTTCTTCTGACCTAAGTAAGGTACATCAAAGTGAGATTCTTTAACATTCACACTGCAGGCGTAGAGGTGATGATGAAAGGAGGCAGTGGTACCGATGATGCAGTGGCTTCTCTATCCATCCATCTAGTGTGCATCATCATCACAGTAAGACAGCTCCATGCTGCCCTGTGCAAGGCAACAGCTACAAGGAGCCTGACCATGAGACCCAGAACATTGCAGTCCCTTCTCACACAGGACGGTCTGTGAGCATGGAAATTGGGGAAATTTGGTCACCCGAGGCTGCTTGACTTGAATACCCAAGGAACAGATTTGAAATGAAGATTTACTTCCCATTTTTCAACTATATTATGGATTCCCTCATATGATCACTGCAGATAGGGATGGCATCACACAAAACATTTTTCTTGGTGAAAGGGTGTAGTATGACTGTCAATCTGTGTAACTGCTGGGAATTGGATTATAACCTTCAAAGTCACCACTAAAGCTATAAAGAAGAGATTGGTCAAGGGTTCCACAGTCAGTGGGAAGAAGAGAAGAGGAATTTAGTAGTGCAGAACAGAATTCCTCCCACAGTGTGGATACCCATAGCTCAGCCACTCATCCTGTCCTTCCTTCTAGACTCCTTTGTCTCCAGGAGAAAGAAATAGTGCATGTACATCTCATCCATCCAACCTACTCTGGACATCTCCTTCCAGATGAGATGAAATGCACCCCAGTCAGCATTTACTGTTTGATCACCATTAATCATACCACAGATTAGTGCAGATTCAGAAACCTACAAGGCAGACACATTTAATCAGATAAACAGACAGGGTGGTCATATGAATAACAGGTTTGCAAAGAAAAGAATTTTTTTACTGTTAAGAGAAGTGGATTGCAACAGCCAGCAGATGTTGATCCAAACACCAGTTGCAAAGTACAAGCTATATCTGATCAGTATCAACTTTTAGGGAAAAAATCCTAACACAGATGCCTGTTTATCTCCAATATTTTTCAATTTCATGCACTTACTGATTTCAGATGGAAGAGAGAGAACCAGAAATGCAAAAACTCCGACCATCAGACTATTACTGGCATGCTGACAACTGAATTCTGCACACCCTTTAGCACTCAACTGTTGTTTCCATCAGTGTTTTACTCGAGCAGAACTCTCATTGAAGGAGATTAACCTGACTGTAAATCATACACAAAGCTATCAAATGAGAACACGAGAGTTTGGCAAAGGAGATTTGGGAAAGTATTGATATTTCTAGGAGCTGGCTCAAATAGTGCTCCGAAATTTGAGATTGTTTGGGTTTAGATGAAGGGGATTTGACCTTTCCTCTTTCCAAACAGTCTAATTTCTAAACTCTTAGTTCAGTCTGTAGGAATTTCCTAATTTATTGAGACAGCCACATAAACACAAATGTTAACATCACTTACTGCTCATTTTCATAATATAGTTTGCCAATGGCCCACGCAATGATGATTGGGCAAGGAATACCTGCAACAACAGAACAAATTCATTATTTAATCGCAGTCCATTTATGTGATGATGATGCAGATATAGAGAGAGGTTTGTAATGAGCATAGGAAGTCTTGCTTAATGCACTGGTAGACTAAATGCAAGTGGTCCTATCTCGGTATATGTGAGACATTGCAATTGCTGTGACTTCTTTATGGATTAAAAAATGATATCAATAAGAAAAGAAATTCAGTACTAGTAAGAAAAGTTAATAAAATTATTAACAACATAAATACATATTATTATTTTTCTGTAAACGTTACCAGAACATTTTGGTTCGTTTACAGGCAATTCTGGTCCCTTTTCATTTTCCTCCAGTTTATATGGCAAAACTTTATAGAGGATATTTGGAGGTGAGTATTGCTTGAATTTTTATTTCCCAGGTTGCAAGACTATAAATTTAGTTGGATTTGGGGATGAAACTCATTTTCAACATCTTCAACAAATTTGAGTTGTGTCCTGAACCTGTGAAACAGGTTGAAGAGAATCTCTTGTTTTCTTGCTAGGTTGGAATTCATTCTTTTTTGCTCTTTTCTAAAGGACCCAGCTACTCTTAACCATATATATTTCACTGAAGAAGTGCTTGGGAAGTTCCCATCTCCATTTTCCCCCTTTCCCTTTAACCTGCCTCTCTGCTCTTGTTCTCATCACCCTAATGCTCAGCACCATACAACACCATTTTAAATGCACGAGGCACTTACACCATCCTATGAAGAGAAAGACCCATTTCCGCAGCTTATCCGTGGAGTAGGTCATCACTATAGCAGTATGTAAGTAACAGCCTTCCACAAACATCCAGAAGAAGTTGGTCACCACAAAATAATTGTAGACAGTGGTAATACATCGACACCAGGGCTGGAATGGAGACAGGAAATAATGGTTAAGACCATTTCAAAAACTCTGTTTCTCGCTCTTCTCTTAAAATCAACGACAGAAGTCATTCAAAGGATGCACATTTATACTTGGGACTTGGAACTGTGGTATCTTAGCTGCAGTTGGGAGCTCACAGCTACGTCTGTCACTTTCAGCTGAGGGTTGGCTTCGCCCACAGCATGCAGGAGTCTCTGCACCAAGCATGCATGGAAGCTAACACGTTAGGAGATGTGCCCTCCTGAGCAGTGTGCAAGCAGCCATGTGGAAAGAAAACAAGAGGAGGCAGACATTTGACTACAGGGGATCTTCCACAGAGGCACAGCCATAGCCTGGGGCCATTTCCAAGGACAGCTTGTGAGCGCGAGCATCTCTTAGGCAGTACTACTTATCTGCTGAGCAATTTGAAGAAAATTTAAGATAAAAGTTAATGTTGCAGTCCTGTTTCACTTCCATTGAAGGAGCAATACTGACATTTAGGAAAAAAAGGATATTTTACTTTTAAGCTATGTGTTTATCAACTGTTTCATCCCCTCTATTCCTGCCGTTTGTGTCTGTAAGTTGCAGTACTGCACACACCACCCTGAATTTCACAACATAATACTTTTTGGTCAGGCTCAATGTAGGCAGCTCCTATGGCTGTGTGCGGGGAGAGCACAGCTGTGCAACAGGCAATTATCCACAGGGAGGCAGATGGTAACATCCCATCAATAAATCATTAAGTAGCTGCTGACGATGATTTCCATAGCGCTACACACAAAAGTCTGGGAAAATTCCTTTCTAGCCAAGCATGCATTCGGTGTATTCCCTGAAGCATGACACTAATTACCTATGTTAGCTGGTAGCACGGATGTCATTTTCAGTCTCACCATTCTCCAGCCTTTTAATTAACTCTACTGAAGAATTCGAAACTTTTGACCCTCAGTTAATTTCATTTTGGACTTCATCTGCATGGGGTACTGGCGATCTCTAGGCATTCAACAGAGCAACAGATGCGCTTTGGAACCCAGCAGAATTCTGTGGGTCCACAGAATATATCTAAAAATGTATTGGGCAAGAAACACGGACACAAAATGATAGTGCGTCCACAAGTGGTGATCACTTCTGTTTACTGAGCTTCAATAAACAGAAAGAAAAAACCCTTTTGGATTTGTTACAGCCTTTTATGTCTGTGTAATTTCATCAAGAGCTGAAATGTAGTTTGCCCTGATCCTTTCAATGGGACTTAAAAACAAAACAACTGAGCAGAAGATGAACTTCCTTTATTCACAGAATCACAAAATGGTCCAGTTTGGAAGGGACCTTGAGGATCATGAATCTCCAACCCCCCTGCCACATGCAGGGCCACCAACCTCAATATTTAATACCACTCCAGGCTGCCCAGGGCCCCATCCAACCTGGCCTTGAACACCTCCAGGGATGGATGGGGCATCCACAGCCTCTCTGGGCAGCTGTTCCAGCACCTCACCACTCTTATAGGAAAGAACTTCCCCCTGACATCCAATCTAAATCTTCCCTCCCTCAACTTCAAACCATTTCCCCTTGTCTTGCTGTTATCTACCCTTTCAAAGTGTAGTGTAAGCAAATTAGATATTTTTTTCTCTAGCCTAAATGAAGTAGAATGAAAAGGAACCCCTCCCCTCTATTTCTGGCTACTACCGAGCACTTTGGTTTCATTCCCGATTGACTCCCAAACTACTCAGACCATTTTTTCTAAGGCACTCAGTCTCATATTTGCTTTTGCTGTCTAAGAAGGTATAAACATGAATTAAATCTTTCCCTGTGGCCTCAATCTCATGTAAATGCTCCGATGTGACACTGACACTCTTGTTCTGCCCTTTCCCTCAGCTGTAAAACTTACACAGCCTTTCTTATTTTCAAACGAACTGTACAGCTAATTGTACTTCAGCCTGCTGCTCCTCTGTCAGAACTGAATGGCACTGCACTGTGGGTTGAGAACGTGCAGGGACACCTACAGACCCACACACACGAAGGCTGTCAGATCTCCCAATGCACTGTTTCCATAGGAAACCAGAACAAAATGAATTTTAACGACTCCGCGCAATTCCTGTCGGAATCGTGCATTTGTTATTATCAAATAATAAACCCAATTAGGAGAACTCATTAATTTATGCCATTTCATTTATTTGCCAGAGGACACTCGGTCCTCTCATGTATCCACCATTCCAGCACTTCCCCTTCTTGATTTATTAGCATCAGCACAACGACTTCATGCAACATGTTTTCATGTTGAGTCCTTTACGTTTCTGTAACGGTATGATTTCATAGAATCATAGAATCATAGAATCACCAAGGTTGGAAAAGACCCACAGGATCATCCAGTCCAACCATTCACCCATCACCAACGGTTCTCACTAAACCATATCCCTCAACACAACATCCAAATGTTCCCTGAACACCTCCAGGGTCGGTGACTCCACCACCTCTCTGGGCAGCCCATTCCAGCACCCTACCACCCTTTCAGAGAAGTAGTATTTCCTAATGTCCAGCCTGAACCTTCCCTGGAGCAAGGGAAGGTCTCCTCTGATTAGCCCCAAAGAGATAACATGATGAGTTGCCATAAATTACGCTGCTCCCATTGATTTTGGAGGCGTCGTTTTGTTGCTGACTTCCACCACAATGAGAGCATGACCACTAAGTTTGTATAAAGCACTCTCCCAAAAAAAGCCTGCGATATTTTGTGGAGAAAAGGTGAGCAATAATGGCAAACAGAGCCATGTGAGGATCTGCCTTTGTCTTCATCGGTTTATATTTTCCTGAGCACTTTGTGGTGCCATTTTAAAACACGGCTGAGTCTCTAAGTGCAACGGATTAGTCCAAAACAATTGTAAAAATCTGCATTAATATTTCAGTATTATCATGAGAGCACAGAACTATCAGCAGTAAAGCTCATATCCCACCATCTTTCATTGCGTGAAAATGACAGAAACACAAAGCAAAGAAGGAACTAATGAAAGCTCCATCTTCTTAAAGGAGTATCTACTTGAACAATAATACAGTTATGCATAGATAAGACAAAAAAATTTAGAAGCTTGGGCTTTATTTTTATCGCGGTACTGAAGACTTTGCTGTTTGTTTTTCCAAACTGTGGGATTATAGAATCACAGAATCATAGGATGTCCTGGGTTTAAAAGGAGCACAATGCTCATCCAGTTCCAACCCCCTGCTATGTGCAGGGTCACCAACCAGCAGCCCAGGCTGCCCAGAGCCACATCCAGCCTGGCCCTGAATGCCTGCAGGGATGGGGCATCCACAGCCTCCTTGGGCAACCTGTTCCAGTGCCTCACCACCCTCTGGGTGAAAAACTTCCTCCTAACACCTAACCCAAATCTCCCATCTCAGTTTAAAACCATTCCCCCTTATCTTATCACTATTCACCCTCGTAAACAGTTGTACCTCCTCTTGTTTACATGCACCCTTCAAATATTGGAAGGTCACAAATCTGACATTTGAAAAGTTAACCAAGGATGATTACGTGCCCAGCTGACTTCAAAAAACTGGATATCTGAGCTCCTGAAGTGTTTTTCAATTTCTGCAGAAGCATCTCCTCCAGGAACACACACTGCCTGCTATCAGTGAGGGATCCAGCTTTTTCACTATGGGCGCTTTAGGCCACTTGCTTTCCAAAACAGAACTATGAAGGGTGTGTTCATGTATGTACCCGTAACACAATGGTAAGTTGTTTATTGTGGAGGTAGCCATCAGGAAACAGTCCTAAAAGCAGAACATTCCACTAGAAGAATACAACTGAGAACAGTAAAAACTCTGTAAAAGGGGACTATCAAAAAGAATGATTCCCCAAGGAAATGTAGAATTATTTCCCAAGAAAACTGAGAACAAGTATTTTTTCTTTATGAGTGAATGCGTTTAATACATTTCAAAATCTACTTTATTATATTTTACTTTTAATAATTTAAAAATACTACTTTTCTGAAAGAATGGTCAAGCACTGGAATGGGCTGCCCAGGGAGGTGGTGGAGTCACCGACACTGGAGGTGTTCAAGGAATGTTTGGATGTTGTGTTGAGGGACATGGTTTAGTGAGAACTATTGGTGATGGGTGGACGGTTGGACTGGATGATCTTGAAGGTCTTTTCCAACCTTGGTGATTCTGTAAAAATCCTCATGTTATTGGGGCTTCTGGGTAAGGCAAGGCATTGTAGTACTAACAAAGGGACTGCTCCCATGTCCTCACTCAAACCAGAAGCATCAGTTGGGAGTTTCATGAGTGATCAAGAAATAAGAGAAATGGAAGCATGGTGACATCTTGTTTTTATCAAGAGCGCCCAGTGCCATGCACAGAAGATGCCCCACTTCTTGCCCACCTCCCATTTTTAACTGTGCAGATCTGTCCCTATGAGTGGCCGTTACCCTCCATCACCCATAAGAAAGCTGACTTAGGAAGCAGCAACCACTTCTTTGCTATTATGCTGGCTGTACTAGTTTCCCACTAGTTAAGTGAGCTCATCTCCAAGGATTCAGCCCTCCCCAAGGGACCAAGCAAAGGAGCAGAGCTAGAGCCAAGCAGCAGAAGCTGGAGTGAAGAGTTTGCACCCCTGGAGGAATGCGTCCCTGGATGCAGCCCATCTCACACAACCTCATAGTGAAGATGGGATTAGCAGAAAAATGGAACCACAAGGATATAAAGGGGTCAAACTGTTCTGTTTCAGGTCTGATTTCTTTTTTTTCCTGCAGAGTCCCTCAGGCTCCAGACAGAAAGGTGCCTGCTGTCATCAGACAAAGTAGCTGACTGAAAGCCTGAACAGCCAAAGCAATTATTTCTGTTCCTGTTCATGGAGGTGTTGTCCTCTGGAATGAATGTTTTTTGCACAGAAATGCAATCACTGCAAGATGCTGTGACAAGAATACTTGAGAACCACGGTACTGTGTCTCGAAGCACAATATTTGGAAAATCTCAGTGGACAGTGAAGATCAGAGAGATTTTTGGAGCCGGATTATGACTTTAAAAAATCTGACATGCAGCAATGAGCAAATAAATGGAAATTTAAAAAATCTAAGATTTTTTTTTTTTTCTTGAAATGACATGAAAAATGCTCTGAGTGTGTGCCCTCTGCTATATTTCTATCAGCTGAATGAATTCAGCATCTCAGCTCACCCCCAAATTGTGTGCTACACCACCTCCAAGCACTTACTTCGTTGCTTTCATGTATGTTGTGGTCTATCATTTGGAGCAGAAACCACATCACATTTCTCAGGATGAACGTGGTGATCAAATTCCAGTGGATAATATTCCGAAGGCATCTGATACTCCTAAACAGGGAAATAGATTTGAATCATTATATATAGAATAGACATACATATAGAGTAAATTGTATACAAGTACATAAAATAAACAAGTTAATTCTGTTCACCTGCCAAGTGCCTTGTAATCTATTCCCACCCATAACCTTCTTACTCTATGAGAAAGGAGGTTCTTCTTTTCCATGCTCAGCAATGATGGACTGTGAGGATGTCTGTAGCACAACCTCACCAACAAGCATTACTGGGCCAGGCCCAATTCTCTGATCTCCAGGTAAATGGCACAGCCGTGCCAAAGCCAAAAATTGGACTTTGCAGTGTAGTCACAATGCATATAAATGGTGTGAATAATACAAAACAGCAACAGATGGATGGTAAAATATGTGGTGCTTGCTATATGCCTTTCTTCCAGAAACCAAGCTACCAGAACCACTTTCACAGGGGTTCAGATAGCCAGTGTGCTTCCTGGCATCATCAGGTTAGGATTCTCCATTTGGCATAGCAGCCTCCCTGCTTGTGACATGGGACACACACACAGAAAGGGGTGTTTTCAAACCTGGTTAACCTTAACTAGCAACTGCTCATCTCACTGACAGCAAAGATTCCTTAAAATGAGAAGGCACAATCCAATAGCCCACATAGCTACTGCCTCAAGTCTTTTGTATGATAAGCAAGCCAGCCTCCTTCATAACATTTTGCCATCATAAAACCCTCCTGCATTTTTCCAAGGACCTTATCAGTCAACCCGAGGGCCAGAAGCAATTCTGTTTGTGTTCTTCAGCCTCACAACCCTCTCAAAGATTTCAGAGCAATCCAGCAAAAAGCAAATGGAGAACCTCCCACATGACATACTGCAACGTACACAACGATGCCCCGAGGTACAACCCTACAAACTCAGTGTCAAAACAGCTTCTGAGTTTAACAACTCAGGCTGTAAAATCAGTGTTTCGTTTTCAGAGCCCCAATGACTCATGACTGGAGTCAATATGGAAAAAAAAAAGAAAAGGAAAAAGAAGTCCAGCTGCTGACATCCATTCACTTTTATGTAGGGTATAAAACAAAAAGTGTTGCTCTCAGCTAACCTGTGCTAGCAGGGGACCTGGCAGAGATGTCTCAGTTCTTTGAAAACTTTACTTCCAGCCAAAGGCCAGCATTCATGGGTAGGCTTTCAAAGCAAGCATGCAACCAACATCCACTGCCTTTCGTGTTGAACCCCAAGAACCCATCTGGCTTTAGACTGACTTTGAAACACGCTATAAAGGTTTGTTCTTTGTTGACCATTCTGCACACAAATGTCCTGCAGCTTCTGTTCTCCTAAATGTTTTAATCACTTCCATCAGGTTAAGGATTAGCAGATTAAGGAAGGAGTTTGAAATACTACTTCTGGGGGCGAGGAAAGAAGCAGGGGACTAAAATTGAGGAAATTCAGGTCAAACGACAGAGATGCTCTCATGAAACTAACTGCTTTTGAGAACTCTAGCAGCAAAACAGATCCAGTGCACTATGCCTCTGCTGAGATGTAGTTTCATCATTCCATATGCTAGGACATCACTACATCTGGCTGGAAGAAGCCTGATTCCCACTAGGCATACAGCACAACACTGGACTGCAAAAGAAAACGGGATTAAACTGTTTCAGACCTTTTGGTTAAGTTCTTAGAAAGAGTTTTCCTGCCAGCAGGATCCCAGTCATCAACATCACCTTGGAATACAAAGACAACCCTAGCATACTCTGTCCTCACAGTCTTTGCCCTCAGTACTGCCTCTTGGTTCACACTGTTGTCTTCTTTGCCCATCTCTCTGCACTCAGCACTGGCTTTTGTTTGGACTGGTAGATGCTTAGGACACAGACTGACTTTTAGTGATGTCTGCTCAGCACCAAAAGCAAGAGGGTAGGGTCTGTGTTGGGAACTCCCAAGTTACACAGGGAATGATGAAGATCAAAATTCCTTGTTTAAAAACAAAAACCAACACAACACGTTACAATGTGATGAGAAGAGATACGGTCCTGGTGTAAAATTAAGTGAAATATAAATACAACTAACACCTGGAATTTACCAATGTGAGACTTAAACTTTGTCAAATAATGCTTTGGACATGAAACATGGACAGTTGGCTCCCACAACCCACTACTTTTAGCAAAAGACATCTTTTAGGAATCAGCACCCATGTAATGCAGTCTCATTCCCTTCTGACTCTCTGTGTGTGGCACAGCTGGTAAGGACATGCTTTGACCAACTAAAAAGGCTCACATCTTAGAGCTGATGGAGCAAGGTAGGACCATCTGCTGTTCCTCCCCACTCACATTCCAACCCACTTCCCTGCCTTGGCACAGGTGAGAGGCAGGAACTGCTTTTGTGATGGCTGGGCTGCTGCTCTGCCAGGGTAAATAGGTGGGATTTGAATGTACAGCACTACTCTCAGGCTGAGACATGTATCACGGAATCATAGAACGGCTCAGGTCAGAAAGGTCCTCAAAGATCATCCCTGCCAAGTCTGAATGTGCTGCAGGGCTTCTCAGTGGTTCAGACAGTGAGGAAACCCCAGACATGGAATAGTTATCATTTTTCCTCTTTTGGTTTCTGTGTTTCTGTCTGCTAACCAGTACTGGCACAAAAATCACACTGTCCATGATGCAATTCATAGCCAAGGGTAGGAAAAGCATGAGAGGGAAGCATGTCAGATTCAGGCTGGGCAGGAAGGCACAGCAGGGTAGTGCAGTGTGTGGAGGCTGCAATGCACAGCAGTGAGAACTGTAGCTAAGCCAACTGGTATATAAAGGAAAAGCTCCTGCCAGCCACCTGAACAAGTTTCTTTCATGTACAGGAACTGCTGGTGAATATCAGCATGGTTATTTACTATGGATAAAGCACTGGGAGGAATACTGGCTGAGACAACGGTCCCCAGAACCTACCCATAAATTTTATTTGTGTAGTCAGATACCTAAGAGGTGGACAGAGAATGAAGGATATGTAACACAACAAAGAGGAGACCTGCAGTGCATCTGCTGTTTGGTACAGGGACAAAGCCTGTTCATAATTATATCAGAGCCTGTTGAAGAAACTCATAATTCTCAGAGTCATTTGTTCTCCCCAGGAATCTTCTTGGCCCTTGGTGGGTAGAAGCAAGCTTAAACTCACACACCTTAATTTGCTTTGAAATACTGCTGCTATTCATAAAAATGACCTGTCCTGAAGTCACAACAGTCTTCTGTGGGAATGGGTTACACAGCTCCTTTCTCCATGATTAATTACTGGTTTCACTTCGTGGGATGAGAAAGCAAACAAGTCAGTGTTCCAGGAACAGCGATAACTGCCTTCACGGGCAGCCCTGAAAAGGAGCTCACATCATTACTGTGAGTAGGGGGAGGTGGAATTTGTGCTGTATGACAAGTTAGTGAATTGAACTCTTGTAAAATCAGGTGAATGGCGTGAATGCATTTCCTTGCAACTCAGAAGTTCTGAACTGAGCTGTTATTCTTACCTCAGCAGGGAGACGCTGCAATCTGGAGCGTGGCAGTGATATTTTCCTGGTACAGGGAAGCTAAATAGTCATGAAAGGGAAGAAATGGGTGACTGAAATGATGCTTCAGATACAACTGAAGCACTTCTAGGAAGAAATTGTGAATTACAGAGCCATTTTAAGTCCCCCAGCCTAAAATACTGGATGATGGAAGGTTTCATCTTCATCTACGTGTCAGGTATCATTGTTTCTGTCATTTCTGCCTATTTACAGCCCTTGCTGCCCATGGAAGTGTGCAGCCCCACTTCCAAGGCCAGCAGCAATAGATGCCATCCCAGTGAGCACAGAATTATGGAATGGTTTGGGCTGGAAAGGACCTTAAAGATCATCCAGTTCCAACCTTCTGCCATGGGCTGGTTGCCCCACAGCAGCTCAGGCTGCCCAGGGCCCCATCCAACCTGCCTTTAAGTACCTCCAGGGATGGAGCATCCACAGCAGCTCTAGGCAGGCACATCCCAGGGGAGACACCATGCACTGAGGCTGTGGATTTTCACTAAAAATCCTTCTCCTGTATTTTCTTGATCCTTTTCAGACAAAATGTGTTGGTTGAGCCCTTGGCTGGGCTCTTCTCCTTACTCTTCCCTAGTGCATGGTCCCAGGTTTGCAGGAAAGAGAAATGTTGGAGCAATTCAGTCAGAACAGATTCAAGGACCCAAAACATAAAGACATTGGAACTTCCATATTCAGTCAGACCAATGAGCCATGGAGGCTGAGGCTGTCGGTAAAAGGCAACGCTCCTGAAGTAGCACAGTTCACACAGCAATTTCACCTCTGGCTGTGCCTGCAAGCAGACTTTGGGCCTGACGTATCCCCCTGAAATACAGCAAGCAAGCAGTGCCAGGAAAGATGCATAAGTTACATTGAGCAAATGAGGAGGCAGAAGGAACAGGGCTTCCTTGGAAAGGAGAGAAAGATGATGAGCTTTCCAACTGGAAGGGAGGATATCACTTCCCACATACATTGCTACTTGACTAGCAGCAGGTCTCTGTGCTGAACAGAGCCAGACAAGGTGAGCCAGGAGCACACATCTCCCACTGCACACACACACACAGCCCCGTAAAAGCATGAGCTTCAGCCCTACAGCAGAAAGTTAGATGCAACGAAGCAATTAAGGTGGAAGCAAACATAATTCTCATTGGCCATCCTAGCTAGTAATCAAAAGCCAGGTGTATTGTGGGAAATTACACATAACGACCTCTTGATTTGATTTGAGAACAGATCGTGTTTCAAGCTCAAATGTCATTTTCTGACTTAATACCATACCCCTGGCATCCTGAATTGCTTGCTGTGCAGGATATCGTAACTGGGTTTCCATGGCAGGAACAAGCTGCAAATGAAAAGCAAGAAAAACTCTCCTGCAGTTGGCTGCAACCTGTGTCAGAAGTGGGCAGAGTTTCTGATTGTTCGTAGAGAAAAGCACACTCTGCTAATTATCTCAGTCAAACGATCTTAATTGCACGATGTGGTGTAGAAAGCAAAGAATTAGAAAATTCATTCTTTGGACTTGGGAAATGCTGAGAGCTGAAAAGGCAGGAAACTTATCCATTGTTCCCATACAGGTGATCTCCCTGATTCAGCAATGCAGGTCTACCAAATGCTTTATAGAACAGTGCTGATAAAACTCAATGTAGCCTTTCTGTTGATTCATGCTTTTTCTTCTCACTCTATCCGTACAGTGCTATTTTCTCCTTTAGGATGTTCAGAGCTGCTACTGTCTGATCCAAAGCATGATACAAATAATTAACATCAGCAATCATCACAATGTGCCAGTGTGGTTGAAAGCTAGCTGAATTAGTAGAATCATCTGCACAGAAATAATGCAAACAATAACTTTTTAAAAGAAACTTGGACACCTTCTACTGATTCACATAATATTCTATTAATAATGATGTTCAATTAAATGCCATCCCAAAGTCTGTCTGAAAACAGTTGGCATGAGAAATCTGCAAGCGCTTTGCTGGAGTCCTTCCTACTCCATCAGTGCTGAACAAGCAGGAAGAAAAACCATGGGCAGCACCAATTAAAAAAAAAAAAAAAAAGTATTTTTCTCTTTCAGTCTTTCTGAGGGCAGGCAAAGCTTGTAGACAATCCATAAATGGCACGGAGCAGGAGGAATACCTAACTGCACAGCTATTTCCCAGGCTGTCTGGGAATACAGGGTGTCTGTCACAGCCTATTTGTTTTCATCCACATGGAGACCTCCCCTGAGGACCTCATGGTTTCCCCTGTGTGCTCATGTATATATTCTGGTATTCCTGCAGCTTACAGATGGGAAATGCAGCTGGAGAGGCTGGCAGAGAAAGTGAGTTTCTTGGTGGCAGTTGCCTAGGGTAATACAAATATTCCCACATGAAACACGAGGGGCAGCAGCAAGGGAAGAACGAAAGCCATGAAATCTTATTTTGAGGGCAGAGATTAGGATCAGCAGCAGCTTCCACCAGTGCTTAGGATGGGCACAGACACTAAAAGGAACCCACTGTGGAATTATCTGTGCTCCACTGAGCTTTTTCCAAAGCCTATTTCTGCTTAAACACAGTGCACAGGGGATTCTGCTGGTAAGTCAAAATGGGAAAGGACTGATGTTCCTTGTGCTGGAAGGCTGCAGCCATGAACAAGCTGAGAATGAACATGATGGGTAACTATAGGGCAGAAGCTTCCATGCAGGCTAAGATTTTTGTCTCCTCTCACACACTACCTTAAGATTAGCAGATGCTCATCAGCTAGCCACAGCCCTCTGAAGATGACAACTCTGTAGATACGCAAAAGAAGCAAACTCTAAGGTGCTGATGCTGCTGTTCACGATCTCCTTGGCCTCTTTTCCTTCAAAACATGGTGTGGAATGCTTCATTATTACATAGGGAGGTGGTGGAGTCACCATCCCTGGAGGCGTTGAAGAACTGTGGGGATATGGTACCTGAAGGACATGGTCAGCAGGCACGGTCAACAGTTGGACTAGAAGATCTAAGAAATCTTTTCCAACCTTAATGACTCCAAGATTCTATGATTATTTTAGAGTATCTGGCAAGGGAAGACCACATAAGATCATCCATAACATGCTGTTTCCAAATACTCATTCCTGTGGTTGGCCTATGTTTGCTGGCCTCGTGGTGCTCAGTGCCTGTGGAATCATTGAATAGCCTGAGTTGGACTGGTCTCCAAAGGATGCAGAAATGTTTCTCTGTTGTTCAGCCTGGGCACCTTTAGAGGAAGCTGCTGCTTCCATAACACAAAAGCAGCCTATGCACTACGAGGAGCATTCATTCCCTATTTAGGGGTGGCACATCTATTGACAAAATAATGCATCATAGAAGATTTTTGATTAGACAGAAGAGAAGGTGAGTAGGTGCTGAACACCTGCAGTGGAGTTTTTGTGGGATATAGATGTGTGCTTCCTTGGGTGAAAATGGAAATCAAACCTTTCAGTAGTTAAATACCCACAGGTGCATTTTTGGTGAGTAGCTTTGACCATCCAGGCTTTAAATACATTCTGATTCTCTTGCCCAGAAATGATACAGGGTATGTTCCTTTTGGAAGAAAATGGCACTCTTGAGCATTATTCATGTCTAACAACAACAAAAAAAAACACAAAAAAAAACCCTGCAAAGACCAAACTTTGCCTTCCTTATTAGTCTGAAATCTTGGAAAACTTGCAAGATTTGCCCCACTGTTCCCAAAACCATTCCATCATCATTAATAGGAGAACACAGCACAGACAAGTCTTAGCTTGTCATTCAACAGTCTTGCACAGGGCACTTACATGACCAGGATTTGAACAGGTCTGTGCCCATCTCCAAAGACACTGTCTTGTGGCTAAAATCTTGGTGATAGCAGAGGGACACTTCTGGGAGCACACTGCAAGCTCAGGATGGGAAGTGGCCTCCAAACTCCAGGCAACCACTGAGTTAAAGACCTTCATAAATTCTTGATACTCTAGTTTAACTGCAAGTTCATTTTTTCCTCCATCACCTTCCTCCTGAACCTCTTTGCTCTCTCTAGGTTGGAAATCATCCAATAATATCCACTCGTAAGTCTATCCATAGAGCGTCTATGCTCATGTCCTCTTGCATCAGTCTTGTAATGACTGTACATAGCTCTCCTCTTTCTGATATTTATCCAACAGTCATGTATTTATAACCAGCAATCATATTCTTTGACAGACTTCACGTTGTTAGTCTATAGGATTATTATTTCAGGTACAGCTTATGAAACTTCTCACATCTTGAGAATATAGCTCTCTGGGGACACTTTTAATTACTCGTATTATTCTAGGACTTCAGGAGAGCTGTGCTCCTTTGTGATTTATTTAGGCTGTATACAAAGTGCCTAAGGAAGAAGTGATACAGATACAAGATGAGTAGGGAGTGATTCAGAGCAGTGGGAAGCAAAGATATTGGCCTAGGGCTAATCAGTAGGAAATGCGCTTCTGTCTTTTATCTGAGTCTCTGAGACAAGATACTTCAGATCACAGAATCACAGAATAATAGAATTTTTTGGTTGGAAGGGACCTCAAGGATCATCAGGTTCCAATCCCCCTGCCACAGATGGTTTCAAGCAGCACAGCACTTGTTTTGTACTCACAGAAGACCACCTGAATGCATATGTGCTCATCTACAGAGCTCCATCGTTTTCATTCCCGTCTCGCTTTGAGAACTTTCACACTTCAACACTCTTCAAATCCACAGCCATTACCATCCACCAAACACATACTCTTCAATCACCAGTATTTATTACAAAGTTTAAAAAATGCCCTGTACCTGAATCATCATTAAAAGCTTTGATATTCTAAGTAGCAAATAGAGCAGACTGAACAAGGGTAGGTGGAAAGCCTGAAACTGGAGGGCAAAACAGAGCACTAAAGTGAATTTTAGTTGATGCCTTATCCTGGGACTTGGTATTTTTCCCTTGCTACCCATAGCCAGGACTGCACCTTAGGTCTGGAGCCTACTCTGCTCTAATCACACTGGATTCCTCATGACTTGTCAGTAGGAATTGCAGAGATCAGCTACCCAGATGATACATCATCAAGGCTCTGACAGCCCTCCACGAAATCACAGAATCATAGAATCATTAAGGATAGAAAAGACTTCTAAGATCATCTTGTCCAACCACTCACCTGCCACTAGTACTGCCCCCTGACCACATCCTTCAGTGCCACATTTCCACAGTTGTTGAACACCTCCAGGGACAGTGACTCCCCCAGCTCCTTGGGCAGCCTAAGCAATGCTTCACAATTCTCCCTGTGAAGAATTTTTTCATAAATATCCAACCTGAACCTCCCCTAGACACAACTTAAAGCCATTCCCTCTCATCCTATCACAAGTGATGCGAGAAAAGAGACCAACTCCCATCTCCCATCTTCTCAGAGAGCTGTAGAGAGTGACCAGGTCTCTCCTGAGCCTCCTCCAGAATGAACAATCTCAGTTCCCTCAACTGCTCCCCATAAGATTTGTGCTCTAGACCCTTCCCCAGCTGCACTGCCCTTCTTTGGATAAGCTGTAGGACCTGCAGCAGTCTCACCAACCACGTGCAAGAGTGAAGAACAAGAGACAGTTCAAAGAAACGAGGAACAAGAGGAGATAGAAGACAATAGAGCTTCTACTTCTAAGCCCTGGGAGCTGATTAGAATTAAAAAAAGAAAGGTGAATATGCTGCTGAAAGAAAAAAAGTAATAATTCAATCTGTCAGGAGAAAAAAAAATGTGAGGGTTTGGTAACTTAGCTGTTATTCCAGAAAGAAAGGGTACACTGCCTTGCAAAATAAAAATTCAGATATCTTAAAGTGGAAATATAAAGCAGTAAATTAGGAAGAACAGGAAAGCAAAGTTTCCCTCATCACTTCAATTTACTTTCATTACTACCATGCTAGCAGAAAAAGTTGCTGTGCCAATGTTGGCGGCTTTTATTTTTATAGAGCTGCCTTTATCCTGCAACCTGTGCAGGAGGACCTGTCATTTTCAATCTTCAATCTCCCTTTAAGTGCCATCCTTCTTTATTGGATTCAAAATGCAGCAGTGACTTCGACATTTCCCAGAACAAACACACATCTTCCTGTAGCTGGTACTTCTGCTTCAGTCACCAAAGCACAAATAAAACATTTGGAAATCAAATCCAGCCAGTTCACTGCTGGCAATTGCCATCACTTTGTTTGATAACAAGAAGAGGAGTTTTACAAGGAACTCATACTCCACCTCGGAGAGGGATAAAACAGCATGCTAACAAGGAAAAAGGCAGGAGAAAGCAATTTGGGTTTCTGCATTCTCAGCAACAGCAGAAAGAACTATTAGTGAAAAGCAGCATTTCAATCCTTCTTTTCTTTCTTCCTCTTTAGCTTGCTTGGTATTAACTTTAGCAGTTTCTCCTATGGAAAACTGCTCTAGTAGTGTGAGAACGTGATTATGGGGGAAGGTGAGCCCAGCTCAGCAGGAACTGCCTGTGTGCCCCTGCTGGGATGAATTAAACCTTTACCATCAGTGAGGAGAACACACAACCCAGGAGGCTCACAGCAGTGCAGATACATTTAACAACACCCCCTGAACTGCATTGAGCAAATCTCTCCAGGTCCTGTGCTGGGGACCAGCACAGCTCTGCAGCACACCTGCCTTTATGCACAAATGCCTCATTTTCCCTTCTCAGCATATTTCTTCTCGCCCGTGTGCTTGCAGGTTTCGTTGTGCCTTGTAATAGCATGGCTGTTAGATTTTAAGAGCACCTACATTTAGACCCTGAGGAAACATCCGTGACCTAAATCTTCAGAAGAAATTTCAATGAATCATTCGGTCATAATAATCTCCTCTCCCATGAGCTGTGCTTCACTTTTTGGTATTTAGGCGCTGAATGAAATGCTTACTTGCATATTTTTTATTACAGCACCCAGGAAGAAGGCTTGTGTAAAAACACAGCTGGATTAAAAAAGGGTTAGAATAGGTCTTCCCAGTGGAAAGGAGTCCTTGGCTGAGCCCTCCTCTCTTCTCAGCTGCTTTAGGGGATCCCGATAAACACAAAACAGATGGCAGTTGATTTCATTGCTTGCTTTTATGTCTGAGCTTTCTGCCCTTCAAAACATCTTTCAGTGTAAAATTCCCTGGGGTTTAGGACAGAACACTGCTAGTGTGGCTGTGAATGGAGGTCAGAAAGTGGCATAAGGAACTGAAGATGGAACTGGGGAAGAGATGAGCCAAGACACATTTGGAAGAAGAAGGACTACATCCAGTTCTGTGCCCTTCCCCTTCAGCAGAACTGAGGACCACACCTCATGCAGTGCAGCAGGTTGGGCTGGAGCAGCAACAGTGATGGAGCCACTCAGCTCCAGAAGCACAGCATCCCTCTCCTTGTTGTAACCAAAGCAACATTCCCTGCCATCCAGCCATATACTACACCTGCTCTTGAAATCCCCAATATGAGAGATCCCCCAGCCCTTCCAGCAGTTGTTTCCCAACGCAGCAGGTGTTCTCCTATCTGTTATTTGAGACAGGGTTGTCTTTGGGTCTCCATGTGCATTAACAAAGCAAAGGGCAAATCGAGCAGATGATGAGTGAGAAGCCTAAAGCTATGCAGTTGTAGAATTCAAGCCTTCCTGGAGGTGCACTCCATCTTCACCCTCAGCAAGCATGATGAAGTAAGGTAGATGGCAGAGTGGGCAGGGATAAGGAAATGATAAATTTCCACTAAAATTCCAATATAAGAAATGATGAGATCTTGCCCTGAAGAGTGTGTTGGTTTTCTTTAAGGCAGGAATTATCTACATTCCTGTTGTGCTGAGAGACATGCTTTAGAGGGAATTACTGGTGACAGGTGGATGGTTGGACTGGATGATCTTGGAGGTCTTTTCCAACCTTGGTGATTCTATGATTCTCTCATATCACTCAATCGGTCCATGTCTTCTTCTGGCCCAAATAAAGCAGAAAAAAAAACCAAAAAAAGCCCCAGATAACAAGACTCAATTATCAGAATGGATTATGGGACACTTCTAGAAGTAAGGGTGATAAAGACATACACAGCCTAGAAAACAAGCAGGAGAAAACAGTAATGCAGTCTGGGCCGCCTTTATGGAGCATCTTTACACCTTTTGAAAACAATTTTGTCTCATCTCTGCAGAGACTGAGATAGCTCTGCTGGCTAACACAGGTTGGAAAGTTATATCAGAGCGACTGATTCTTCTTTTGCACGGTGCAATGGAAATGTAGAGAGACTGAATATCTTAATTCACAGCATGTACAGGGAGCTACTTAATTGCTGAACTCCTTTTTCATGCTGCAAAATTTAAATTGTGAAATCAAAATTAAAATACCAGAAAAACAGTTTAAAAGAGATCAG